TTTTCACCTACATTTCTTCCATCTCTGGCTACCTCACTTCTTCTCTGCCATGGTTTCCCAAGTGGGGCTTTGGTATTCTTTCTTTAGCACTTGGCTCAACATTTTATTGTCCTACCATTAAGGAGGGCTTGGGAAGGGAGCTGGGGTGATGGTGGAGGTGATCTCACTTGGGTTTCCCATTCACCAAGGCTTCAAATGAGACTTTGACATCATCTCTGCACTAGATTATATGGATAGTCAAGATGTTCATCACAAAGGGTCAAATGCATAGTCTGTGCCTGGACCACACCCGCCATCCACAGGGCATTCTGAATTAATATTTAAAAAAATAGATCCTATAAGTCCCTTGTGATTATAACTATTTTACATCGCATTTGAGTTTGTGTATGTATGTGAGAAAAATGTGAATTTGTTGTATGAGCATCTATAATGTGCCATAAACATTGTAATCCTGCTTCGTATTTCTTCTTCTTCTTCTTTTTTTTTTTTTTTTTTTTTTTTGAGACAGCTCTGTTGGCTTGGCTGGAGTACAGTGGCATCATCGTAGCTCACTGCAGCTTCAAACTCCTGGGCTCAAGCGATCCTCCTGCCTCAGCCTCCCATGTAGCTGGGGCTACAGGTGTACGCCACCACACCCAGCTAATTCTTTATTTTCAATAACCTGGGCACCTGGTCCTCTCTCACTTTCTGAGAGATCCTGTACTCAAACCTGCTAAATCAGTGGTGATTTTACACAGAGGGCAATTCAGGAAGAATAAATAAACATATTTACAGGACATGTTTTCTCCCCCTCCAATCAAAATGAAGAGAGCTTCATTGCCATGACCCAGGAGTGGGTGTGGTGTCAAAGAGTGTTTAGTCTTACGGTTTACTCTGCTGAGTAGAACAGCATCAGTGAGAAAATGGGCACTGCGCTTAGTCATTGAAAACTTCACAGCCAGACATTTAGAGATAGTTTTTAAACTTTGCATTCTGAAATTAGACCTGGCTGCCTCTGTGGTCCCTATCATTGCACGGACTATAACCTTGTAACCCACGGGCCAGTGTTTTATTTATGTCAGTACCCTGCTTGCCCAACATAGTGCCCAGCACACAGTAGGGGCTTCGCAAATGTTCATTAAGAAACAATATGGGGCCGGGCGTGGTGGCTCACGCCTGTAATCCTAGCACTTTGGGAGGCCGAGGCGGGCGGATTGGTCAAGGTCAGGAGTTCGAAACCAGCCTGAGCGAGACCCCCGTCTCTACCAAAAATAGAAATAAATTAATTGACCAACTAAAAATATATATACAAAAAATTAGCTGGGCATGGTGGTGCATGCCTGTAGTCCCAGCTACTCGGGAGGCTGAGGCAGTAGGATCGCTGAGCCCCGGAGATGGAGGTTGCTGTGAGCTATGCTGACGCCATGGTACTCACTCTAGCCTGGGCAACAAAGTGAAAAAAAAAAAAAAAAAGAAACAATATGGTAGAATGGTTAAAAGCACAGACTCTGTAGCCAGACTGCCTAGCTCTGTGACTTGTTAGCTGTGTGACTTTGTGCAAGTTACTTACCCTCTCTGGGCCTCAGTCCCAGTCTGTAAAATGGGACTGTATCAATCCCTACTTCATAGATGGGGATTGGATAAATTAATATATGTGAGCTCTTAGAGCAATGCCTAGCCTATGTACACTCTGCATAAGTGTTAGTTGCTATTATCAATATAAATATTATTACTGAACTGAATGGAAACCTAAGTCTGCCTATGGTGCCAGAGCCTCCCAGTGAATCTTTTCCATCTCTGGCTTCCATTTTGTTGCCACTTATCAGATCTCTTCTCCAGTCTCCCTTTGCGAAAACAGATTTGATTTCCATATAAAACAACTCTGCTTTCCCCCCTCATGCCAAACAATTTTTTTTTAAAGGGGAAGCAAAAGCAAAGCAAAAACCCCAGATGTTTTTGAAGCAAACCCGGGCCCAGCTGGAATGGATAGTATGTTGAATTAATTACGTGGGGTAGAGGCTGTATAGCTTTTGGAAACTGCTCTCTTCCAAAGAAAGGGCCGCTTTCTCTGTCCCCTTCGTCTCTTTGCACAGAATGCTCGTCTTCCACGCTGGACTGATCCGTCTTTAGATGGACGGGGAGTCCTCCCCGGAATGACACATGCCACACAAACGATGGCTCCGAGAGCCTCGTACACCCGATTACTTTATCTTTCATCATGGTTACTTCTGTTTGTTGGCTTATTTTTTTTAAAGTTTTAAACATTAAAATATAACATATATACAGAAAAGCACACATGTGTTCACCCAATAAGTTTTCACAAGTTGAACATGCTTGTGTCACCAACACCTGGATTAAGAAACAATGTGACGGAAGCCTAGCTGTGCCCCCTCCACTTACCACAGCACTCCCTACCAATCCCACCAAGGGCGATGGTGCTGATTCTAACCCCGAGCAGAATCTTCTAGTAGGTCCATTTTGGTGTCTGGATTTCTCCCTCAACGTCGAGTTTCCGAGATTCATCCGTCGTGTTGGCGGTAGTTGTAGATCATTCTCATCGCTGTATAGTACTCTGCCATGTAAATATAGCATGATTTATTTGCCCATTTTACCTGTGATGGGCATGGGGTAGATTCTGGTGTGGGACTCTGAGTAGGACCGCTCGAGACATGCCCGTACATGTCTGTGGAGACTGAAAAGTGTGCATAACTTGCCGCGGAGTTGGGGTCAGAGGCCAGGCATGTGTGTAGCAGATGCTGCCAAACACTTTTCCAAAGTAGGGGTGCCGATCATCCTCTTTTTTTTTTTTTTTTTTTTTTTTTTTTTTTTTGAGACAGAGTCTCGCTTTGTTGTCCAGGCTAGAGTGAGTGCCGTGGCGTCAGCCTAGCTCACAGCAACCTCAGACTCCTGGGCTTGAGTGATCCTTCTGCCTCAGCCTCCCGAGTAGCTGGGACTACAGGCATGCGCCACCATGCCCGGCTAATTTTTTATATATATATCAGTTGGCCAATTAATTTCTTTCTATTTATAGTAGAGACGGGGTCTCGCTCTTGCTCAGGCTGGTTTTGAACTCCTGACCTTGAGCAATCCGCCCGCCTCGGCCTCCCAAGAGCTAGGATTACAGGCGTGAGCCACAGCGCCCGGCCCATCCTCTTGATTTTGATGGAGAAAATTATTCTATATTCAGCTTCGATTTGGGTTTTAAAGCAGAATTCCATTACACTAATTCTGCTGGTTTTACCATTCCTCCTGTCCTCTCGCGCTTACGGGCCATATGGTAACCAGGTAAACGCGCTCAAGTCGCTGTAACTGCTTCTTTTTGGGGAGGCTCTTGAGAGACTTTTAGAGTTGCTACTTGAAATGGAAGTTTTAGAATTTTTTTTTCCTAAAATTTCTTCTTTTTTTTTCAAAAACAGAAAATACAATCACTGCACTGTCTACAAAAGAAGTCTCCCCTGCCTTCCCCCTGCCCAACCTTTTACTGAATGAAATTTAGAACTTAGGGAACTTTTGAGTGAAACTCAAATGCTAATGAGAAACAACATCCCCCCCAAAAATAACAGCAAAAATATTATTTCACATACTGCTCTCTCTTAAAATTCCAAAGTGCCAAAGCACTCTCAAGTCCTGCAGCTCGGGGCAGTTATTATTTTATTTTGCAGATGGGAAAATGAAGACCTGCAGAGTTGACTTGACACAGTAAGAACTGGAAGAACTAGAGCTTGGAAGCCAGACCCACGCCTGGGGATTTGGACTTCTAGGAGCAGAGGGTCCCTTTACTAAGGAGAATTTCAAGGATGATGTGGCCGTATCAGGAATTCATCATCATCTCTTTAATGGATGACATTCACATCCTGGTGCTTGGCATTTTGTCTTGTTAGGAAGTGGTCTTCGGTAAGGACACATTGTCAAAGAATTTATTACTTTTTTGTTTGTAGTGGCCAAGAATTGAAACTAAGTAAATACCCATCAGTAGGGGAATTGTCCAATAGCTGCGGTGCCTTTATATTATGAACCATAACAGAATTGTTAAAAGGATTTTGGCAAAGTCTGGCAGAATATAAAAAGAGGAAGAAGTATGTGTATAACATATAATTGCATTTTTGTTAAACAAACAAACAAACAAACAAACAATAAACACCCCCTACCGCCAAACTCCACTGTGTGTATGTGTGTGTGTGTGTGTGTGTAAAAATTACATGAGTATGGGGAAAGGACACAAACTAAGATAATAACATGGGCTACCTGGGAAAGCAGGGATGGGGTGATAATGTGGGAGGATGGAGTATAGGAAAGTCGCCTAGTGATATAATGCCGTTTGAATAAGTTATACATATGCATATATACATGTACTATGCATAAAGGGTGCATAAAAATATGTGTGCAAATAAATCAACCAAACAAAAGAGTGGTTCTAACAAGAACAGGGCTCTGGGCCCCACGCGGGCCAGTTAGCTTGGCAAGGGCGAGAGCCAGGTTCTGCAGATGCAGACTTTACCCTCTAGGTCAGTTATGTCGCAAGTGAAGGACACTCATCAGAAGTGGGCGGCTGAGTACAGCACACCACTGCGTCTGTCGTACCAGCAATCGTAGCTGCCATCTTTGAAGTGTGTGTACTACCGTGTTTCCCCGAAAATAAGACCTACCCATAAAATAAGCCCGAGCAGGATTTCTAAGCCTGAAAATAAGACCTAGTGATGGGTGTGGCTACGCAGCATATCTGCACAACCCATGCATTTCGTCGTGGAGTGGTAAAGAAGACGAGCAGCCCTTTTCATCTGCCCCATGAGAGCTCTATTGCTCGACATGAGAGATTGGGGCCAATGGTTCTAAAGGAAATAGAGTCACAAGAAATTCAGGATGGAATTCGGGGTTTGGAGAGTTATGATGATGTTCCAGAAGGAGACGACTTAACTATATTTGAATAAATGTAGATTGTTGTACCGTACTTAAAAAAATAACACATCCCCTGAAAATAAGCCCTAGGGTGTCTTCTTGAGGAAAAATAAATATAGGGCCCTGTCTTATTTTCGGGGAAACACAGTATGTGCTGGCATCCTCATAATTTCTCAAAGTTAGATATTTTTATCCCCATTTTATGGATGGGGGGAAAACAAAGGCAAGTAACTCCATGCCACAGAGTGAGTGAGTGGTGCTGAGATTCAAGCCCAGGTCTGTTTGGGTCCCAAACTCCTGCTTTTGAGGTCTTACTTGAATGCACAATCACAGGGGGAGCTGCCCCCCTGCTGCCCTGATCCCAGCTGAGAGTCCTGCAGGGCCCTGCCACCCCCCTGTGGGTGCTAAAGTGCAGGTTTGCTATTGGAAGGAATCAACCCACTCCCTAGTGAGTGTTTCCTGTGTGCACTCGCTGGCCTCTTTCCTGGTTTTGGATGGCAAAGCTGCTTACCTGTGTGAGGGGGAAAACAGCCTGTTGGGGCCTCTGTCCCCAAGAAAGCAGGGCTACACAGCAAAGTAGGGCATCTGGTTGTCCTATCTCAGGACGGGTGAAAGACAGACGGGCTTGTTAAAAAGGAGGACAGCTTTGCCAAGTGTGACATCTATCTGGCCCTTGCGCCTGTCACCAGCCACCTGGGGAGCAAATGCTCCTGTTTTCATGGGGCTTTCTCTTCCCACCTCTGCGTGCCACGCCCCCAGCCCCACTAACCACAAGGAACTAACAGTAGTGGCGCGTTTGGTGGCCCAGTTAACGTGACTTCCACACAAACACCACTGAGTGCCTTTGTTGTCACCAAAGGTCCCCCAAAGTGAGTTCTTAAAATAAAAATCACAGTCCTGCAAATTGATGTCACCTGGGATCCCTTTTTTCTTTTCCTTGCCTTGGTTTCCTCATTCAAAATTCAAAATGGAAATCTGATTTTCCTCTTGTTTGCCATTAAGATATATGATGAGGAGGATATAAACAGGAGGAGACATGTCATATGCTAGAAACATAAGGCCAGTTTTGTGTCTTAGGTTTTAGCTGAAAACAACAGTGCTGCTGACACCAATAGTTAATTGACATTTTTTATGTAATAAGTCTGGATGTTTCCAGTGTGCCTGGACCACTGTTTTCTACAGGGTGCTGTGTTTTAACAATGGCAGCGGTGACTTCCAGGAACAGGCCTGTTTCATAAAGGTTAACTTGACTGCAGAGGTTGGCCGGCTGCAGGGACGGCCTTCCCTGGGCCTCCTGCCCTCTCTGTGGCAGATGGCCGCCATTCCCCTGGTGGGTTGGCACAGCTGGCGCTAGAGCCACTGCCTGCTGCCTTCCTTCACTGCTCGTGGAAACCGCCACAGATCTCGGGAGGGAAGGGAGAACGAGGAGAAAGTGTGCAGCAGGCTGGGGTCTTCACTGCAGGCCTGGGGCAAGGACTGCCCACGGCCAGGGCGTTTGCTCTCTGCACAGAGAGTGTAGGCTGAGCCTTATGGATGTGGATAAACTACCTGGTTTTTTAGAGCCTCCGTCTATCTTTCTGGAAGGGCAAAATTCTTTTGAACGATGTCATGATTGTGAACAGTGTTCTTAGTTCTTTAAGGGCTGGGACCAGGTCTCCCATATAGGGCACAGTGCCTGGTGCATAGTAGGACCACAAAGTAATATTTTCCCCTGATATGGAACCCCCTATAGATCCATGGCTGGGCAGCATGACAAGCAATCATTTAGGAAACACTTTCCTTCTTCCTTTGCATTTCTCTGTGCCTGACAAAGTATGGCATCTGTTCACCTTTCCTCCATCCTCATTCCTGTTTGCATTTATTTTGCTTAAAAAGCATTTTCCTTCTGAACAATTAAGTAGAGCTGATAGGACCCTACCAGACACCCCTCTCCTGTTTGCATCCTGAGAGGGGTTGTTGAAATGTGTTCTGTTTGGTTCAGCTTAAATCTAGGAGTAGATTGACCAGTGTGGTAGGAGAGATTGTCTTCGTCCTAAGAGCTGCCCCTAATAGGTATGTAGAGTCTTCTGAGGTCTCTGGACAGTGCAGTTTACCCAGATCCAGATAAGACAGGGGCTAGAACTCCCAGTGGGCTCCTGGGCGCTGGATGGGAGGGTGTCCTTTAGAGAAAAGGGGAAAAAAATCCACCCAGATGGAATGATAAAGGAGTGACATCACAGTAGGCATGGCAACCGTGGGGTAATCACAATCTCCCCACGAGGTGGTCAGAACCCCAGGGGAAGACCTAGTTTCATCAAGCTCCTTTTCCCTTTACAGCAGGCAGGAGCAGGGAGGCGTGGAGGAGGGATTGCTTATCCGACGGCTAGGACAGGCCACGGGGTTTGTGTCTTACCCCAGAACTGCCCCGCTGCCCTGAAAATCCCTCTGGGGAGGGTGGTGTGCCACTTCAAAGCATTCGCATTCTGTCGCTTTATCATCCAGGGTTGCCCTGGGAGTTTGGCAGGAGAGAGGGAGCAAAGAGGGAGAGACGGAAGCGCGTCATTGGAGGGTGAAGTAGAGATAGGATAGGATTGCCAGAGCTCCATCCTCAGTGACTCCTCCCCAGACGCTCTGACCCTCTCTGAGATCCCACGGTCAGTGTCCTCTGCCTCCCTGGCCTCTCCGGCCTGCCGTTCTGCAGAAGATGGTGTTGCGCTGCCTGGAAGCCATGTAAGTTGTGCCGATTCCAAAGCCACTTGTGTCTCCAGCTGAAAGAGACAAAATCTTCCGAATAGCTCCTGAGGCCCCTGGGTGTAAAGAAAGAAGCTTCGTGGTGAACGTTTGCACTCGGGACAGCTGGGGATGTTGTCTCAGGCAGGTGTATCCTGAACGCTGTGATGGTTTTAGGTGTCAAAGAATTGCATAAGGAGCTTGAACCAGGAGGTTGGTATTACAGGGCTTCTGGGTGCCCTGGGCCCAGAAATCATCCCTCCTTTCCTGTCAATGTGGGGTGACTGTGCCCAGGTCTGACCTGGTTGCTGTCTCTCTGTGGGTCACATCATAGCTGCTTGTTTGTCTTCCTGCCACCTGGCATTTTTGGGCTCTTAGAAGTGGGTGAGCAGCTCTCTCATGAGGCTAGCTGGTCTGTCTCCTACTCTTCAGCAGAGCCCTACGCCCCAGTTGTGGATATATGAGGACATCGAAGGGTCCCCTGGGAGGCATGCTCTTTGCTGCTTTAGTCAGGATATCTGGAGTTCCTGCTGCACGCAGGGGAAAATGCTTACCCAGCTCCTCGTGGCTCTGGGTAACTTTGTAAAGTGAGTTTATGTATCATTTAATTTTTTTATTGACATAAAATTTACATAACATAAAATTCACCATAAAGTTGCAATTATTTGAAAGTGCATAATTCAGTGGTTTTTCGCATATTCACCATGCATGTTGTGCAATTGCCACCAACATCTAATTCCAGAACATTTTTATCACTCTAAAAAGAAATCCTGTAGTCACTAAGTAGACAGCCCTCATTGCCTATCGCCTCAGCCCCTGGTAACTACTAATCTACTTTGTCTCTGTGGATTTCCCTACTCTGGGTATTTTGTATAAATGAAATCAATATTTGTGGCCTTTTATGTCTAGTTTCTTTCATTTAGCACAATGTTTTCAGTGTTCAACCATGTTATAGGTATATCAAGACTTTATCCCTTTTTGTGGCTGAATATTAGTCCATTGTGTGGATATGCCACACTTTATCCATTCATCTGTTGGTGGATATTTGGGTTAACTTTTTAGTTATTATGAAGAGTGTAATATGAACATTCATACACAAGTCCTTGTGTGGACATACGTTTTCAGTGCTCTTGGGGATATACCTAGGAGTGGGATTGCTGGGTCGTGTAACTCTGTGTTTAATGTTTTCAGGTACTGCCAGACTGTTTTCCACAGGGGCTGCAGCATTTTACATTCCCACCAGTAATGTATGAGGGTCCAATCTGTCTACACTCTTGCTGACACTCGTGATTCTTGTCTTTTTTTTTAACTTAAAAAAAAATTTTTTTTTTAGAACCAGTGAAATAGAGAAATGTCTTTTTAATTATAGCTATTCTAGTGGGTATGAAGTGGTATATCATTGTGGTTTTAATTTGCATTTCTCTGATGACTAAAAGATGCTACATAACCTTTCATGTGCCTATTGGCCATTTGCATAACTTATTTGGAGAAATGTCTATTCAAATCCTTTGCCCATTTTTAAATTGGGTTGTTTATCTTTTTTTTCCGTTGGTGAGAAGTGGGTTTATTTTAACACAAAAGTGTTCCCTCCCCTACTCCAGCATGATGTGACCATCCTGTGGAGGTGGAGGAGTTTAGTGGGTCACTTAAAAGCAGGCGTAGGTCTTTGCATCTTAGGCCACTCCTCCATGTTTTTGGGAGTCTCCTCTTCCTCGGCTACCCTTAAATGTTTTTTCCCCCAGAGTTTCTGTCCTTGATTCAGTTCTTGTTTTGCCCTCAATTCCTCCCACGCTGACCTCACCCACACCCATGGCATCCATCGCCACATGCATGTTGATTGCTCCCAGATGCATGTGTCTGTCCTGGACTTCCCTCTCGAGTGCCACAGCTACCTGGCACCTCAACGTGTCCAAAACTTACCACATTCCTTTGCTACCCCTTCACCTTCTGATTCTGTGCCTGGATAAGCACTGTTGTTATCCACCTCGTCAGTCATGCTGGAGGTCACCTTGGACTCACTCCTTCCCCTCTCTCCCAGGTACGTCTGCCCTCTTCTCACCAGTCCTGTCCATTTGTTCTTTTCAATAGCTCCTTCTCGTTTGCCCTCAGTTCTTCACTCCCACTCTGGCTGCTTTGGTCCAGGTCTTTGTCATTCCAACTAGACTTCCTCATTTCGAGTTCCTTCTATCTATCCAGACTCTGTTAGAATGATCCAATTATATCAATGATTTCTTTTGTTTTCAAGACAGAGTCTCACTCTATTGCCTGAGCGAGAGTGCCATGGCATCAGCCTAGCTCACAGCAATCTCAGACTCCTGGGCTCAAGAGATCCTCCTGCCTCAGCCTTCTGAGTAGCTGGGACTATAGGCATGTGCCACCATGCCTGGCTAATTTTTTTTCCATATATTTTTAGTTGTCCAGCTAATTTCTTTCTATTTTTAGTAGAGATGGGGTCTCGCTCTTGCTCAGGCTGTTCTTGAACTCATGAGCTCAAATGATACACCTGTCTCAGCCTCCCAGAGTGCTAGGATTACAGGTGTGAGCCACCTCGCCCAGCCTACCATTGCCTTCTTTTTTTTTTTTTTTTTTTTTTTTTGAGACAGAGTCTCACTTTGTTGTCCAGGCTAGAGTGAGTGCCGTGGCGTCAGCCTAGCTCACAGCAACCTCAAACTCCTGGGCTTGAGTGATCCTCCTGCCTCAGCCTCCCGAGTAGCTGGGACTACAGGCATGCGCCACCATGCCCGGCTAATTTTATATATATATATCAGTTGGCCAATTAATTTCTTTCTATTTATAGTAGAGACGGGGTCTCGCTCTTGCTCAGGCTGGTTTTGAACTCCTGACCTTGAGCAATCCGCCCGCCTCGGCCTCCCAAGAGCTAGGATTACAGGCGTGAGCCACAGCGCCCGGCCCCATTGCCTTCTTAAAACTTTTCAGTGACCCCTTGTTGCCTGAAGAATAAGCTTCCGACTCCTTTGTTGGGAGTATGGACCTTCCTGAATTTGACCTCTACCTATCTCTCCAATGTCTTATTCCCTTGCACATCACCCCCAGTCCTTTCTCCAGTCTAAAGGAATTTCTTGAGGTTTCTTGAATGGGTTGTGTTCCCTTAGACTGTCATGCCTTGGATGCCATACTATTGGTAAGAGCTTTATTTATGTGTCCAAGGATAGATTTTCAGGGCTGGATTATGGACCCAAAATGGCCTAAACTAAATACTATGGATAGAGAACATGGTGACTGTGGGTTGGATTCGATATTGATTCAATCATTTATTCATGTGAAAGAATGATTTCCACACTGAATGGAAATTAAACTGCATTGTATTGCATTTATGAACCACCTGTATTGCAAAAGAGATGGACTCTTTTGGAAATATTCTGACATTTGCCCCATCCACAGCCCACAGTTACTTTATTTACTTTCTGCACCAAAACCAGCAGGTTACAGGGTGTGACACGCATATGTGTATTTTGGAAGCCGATGGGACAAAATATTTGAAGTCAGATTTGGTTCCCAAGGTTGCCGTAGCAACCGACTAGTATGAATACCAGCATCCCATACTCATTTGGAGCCCTTCACCTTTAACCTCCGGATGTCTTATAACCTTTTCTGAGGATATTAGTCCCTAGCCAGAGAAACAGAATTCAACCAAAGGAGTGATTCCTGGTCCTTTCCAAATAACTTTTAAAAATATTTAATTTACCTTAGATTGCTATTTAGTGCTTTCCCTTTCTCCCTCAAATTTTTACTTAGAAAAGTTTCAAGCCTTCTTTAAAATTATGAAAATAGTACAATGAACACCCCTATACCCTTTGCTTAGATTCACCATTTATAGGCATTTTGCCGCCACATTTCTTTTCCTCTCTCCCTCTACCTTTTATGCACATGAGTGTGCCTGTGTGGGTGCATACTGATGTTTCAGGAAGAGCGAGAGTTAGTCTGTAGTCACCTTCTTCTTCTTGGTATGTTTTCAAGCTTCTGGTGAAACTCAGCGCCAAAACTGAAGCCTTGAGTTCTTGGCTCCGTGCCGCCGCCGCTGACTGGAGCACACTCGGACGATCCTGAGCAAGTTCCTTCCCCTCTCCGAGCCTCAGTTTCCCTGTCTGTAGCATGAGGGCTTGGATCACCTGCTCTTTAAGGCCTCTCCCTGTACCCGGTGTTCTATGGCCTTGTGATGGTCAGAAAATCTCAGCCCTTTGGGAAAATTGTAAGAAGATACTTAAGGTACTTGTGAGATGAACCCTAGAAATTTATTGCTGGCTGGGCTTTGGCCAGGACAGTGTCTGGTTTATAGCAAGGATGATTTTTCCCCTTGGGAGAGCTACCAGCGGGAGGCAGGCTCGGTGGGGGGCGTGGGGGGATGGGGAAGCAGGGGGAACTCTGATCTGCTTGCTGCTGAGTGAGCAGCCAGAGGGACGTGGACCCCCTCCCCCACCACATTTCCTTGAGGTGCCTGCTTGTCTAATTTGCTGTTTGCCTTGCTTTCCCCACACCCTTTTGTAGCTACTTTTGTTCAAGGATCTTGCCACCTCCTTTTTCTGTCCCTGGCCCACTTCCAGGTTAAATATCTGAGAAAGACAGTGGTGGCCTGAAGACGTTGGTGACATGGGTGACTCTCGTGGGTGGACATGAACAAAGGCTGCACTCTCTGGGGGAGGGGTGATCGCTACTGCTTGCTAGAGGCTTCCATGGTGTTCCTACCCACAGAGCCCAGGGCAGAGGACCTAGATGGGCCAGACTGATTTGATGTGTTTAATTCCCACGAGTAGGGTTGGTTCTAGTAGAGGGGAAAAGGACTTAGGGGTTGAGGAAAGGAACTGGTGAGAGCAGGGTGACGGGGGTTCATTTATTCATTGGATAAGTGTTTCCTGAAGACCCACTTATTATGTGCAAGGTCCTTTTACCCAGAAAGATGACCTTGGGTAGCCGTCATTAATGTGTACCAGACACTGTGCTAAGTGTTGTAGAAGTGGTAGCAGTAACGTTAATGATTGTCA